CACACACCTGTAATCCCAGCACTCAAGAGGCTGAGGTAGGATTGCCATGAGTTCGAGGCCAGCCTGCGGTATATAGTGAGTTCAGGGCCAGCCTGAATTACAAAGGGAGACCCTGCCTCAAAAAAACCAAAAAAAAAAAAAAAGAAGAGCCTGAACTACACAGCAAGACTCTGACTCAAATAAAAAGCAAAAACAAAAAATATATACCACTATTACAGTATTAGACTATTCTGAATTTGACTATGGACCTTTAGCAGTGAGTTTTACACCTTCTTTATGGTTTCATGTTGCTCATAGTGTTCTTTCATTTCAGCTTGAATTTCCTAGAGAGCCGGCTTCGTGGTGCTAAGCTCCTTCAGCTCTTGTTCTTTCAGGAGTGTCTCTCTCCTTCAGTTTTGAAGGACAGATTTGTTAGGTGTAGTACTCACAGGTGGTAGTTCTTTCCTCTCAGTGCTTTGAGTGTATAAACCCACTCTTTCCAGGCCTGCAAGGTTTCTGATCAGAAATCTACTCGCAAAAGTAGTCTAATGGTAGTTGTTATAATTCACTACTTTCCTCTAACTGTCTTCAAAATTGTTTGACTTTTCACGATTTGATTATAACCTAAGTGAAGACCTCTTTGTGTTCAACTATTTTGAGTTCTTTAAACATTAGGGATCTGGCTGTTTATCTTTCTCTTCAGATTTGAGCTTTGTATCATTAGTTCTTTAAGCTTTCTGCCCTTTTTTTCTCTGCTCCTTCTGGAACTCTCAAAATTGTTGACAGCATCTCATAAATTCCACAAACTTTATTTTTTCATTATCTGTAATATAAAAATGGTCAGGTTGGCTAATATTATGTTATAGGTACCATAAATTTTAAACGTGTTTGGTGCATCCTATACAGTGGAATACAATGCAGAAAAGATGGGCGAATCTTAAGGACTGATAAGTCTTTTTTGTTAAGTGAAAAATGCAAGGATGCTCAACAGTGAAAAAGAAGAAGAAAAGGCTACAGTCAACATCTGGATCAAGAAACAGAACCTGGAGCCAGGTGTGGTGGTGCATACCTGTAATCCCAGCACCTAGGAGGCAGAGGTAGGACTGAAAGTTTGAGGCCAGCCTGGGATACACATTGAGTTCCAGGCTGACCACTACAATATGAGGCCGTCCTGAAACCTGCTCTGCCCTGAAGTTCTCTATTGCTCTCCCTCGCAGGCACTAGTTTCCTACCACACCTTAACCAGGACTTCTGTGACTAGTCTTGCCTGCTTCTGGACATTATACGAACAGAATCACACACTATGCACTCTTTGGGGTACATCTGCCATTCCAGACTCTTTTGGGTCTGGAATCTCACATTGTGTGAGGTTCACCAGATTTATGTAGTTGCAGGTGGCTTATTCTCAGTGCTGATCGTCTATTTATTCATCCATCTTCCTGTTGGTACTTAGGTTGCTCCCACTTTGGACCTGCAACAAATTCTTAAGCTATGACTATTCTACTTCATGTCTTCTGGGGAAAGCGTGTAAGCATTTTTGTTAAATATATTCCTAGAGGGCCGGGGATTTAGCTCAGTGGTTCCACCGCCTGCCTCGAAAGCTAAGGACCCGAGTTTGATCCCCGGTACCAAAAATACATATATATATTCCTAGAAATTGGACTACAGAGTCACACTGTGTGCTTAGCTTTAAAAGATATTGCCATATAGTTTATTTGGGTTTTTTTTCCTGGTACTGGGACTCGAACTTAGGACCTTGTGCTTGCGAGGCAGGCACAACACCACTGAGCTAAATCCTCAGTACCAAAAAAAAAAAAAGGTAAATTTCACTCCCATGCTCTCAAGAGATAACCACTGGCACCACGTTCTTGTGTATTGAGACAATATACTGAACACTTACACTCATACAAATATCTATTTTTTCCCAATTGGAAAGTAAGACAACAGATGGGAAGTTGCAGGAAAGGGTGAGTGGGCGACACTGCACAAAGATCTGGTGGTGAGGGAATGTCTGAGGTACCGCATCCCAGGTAGAGGCAACAGCAGCGGTGAAAAGGCCTTGAAGAGGTTGCCTGGCCTGTTGGAAGAGCAGAGTGAATGAACAAGGGCCCAGATAGCCTTATAAGCCACCTCAGAACTCCAGCCTTCTGAGTAAGGGAAGGCATAGTTTTAGAGCAGGAGCCATAAGGTCAAGCAGCACTCTTTTCAGTTCTCAGTATTACACTACCATAGCTTATTTGTTGCTACCCTCTGATGGACACTTGGCCTGCTTCCAACGTTTTACACAAAGCACATCTGTTTTTCTTCCTCTCCAGATTTCAGCTGACAATCTTCATATTAAAAACTTTGTCAGCTGTGTGTGTTGGCAGAGGCCCAGAATGCTAGGCTGAAATAGGAAGATCACAAGTTTGAGTCCAGCCTTGACATCATAGTAAGAACCTGGATCAAAATTTAAAAGGGGAGGGGTTGCAGTTCAGGTGAATGGGCCTGGGTTCAATCTCCAGTGTGTGCAGTGAGGTAGGGGTGTGAGACCAACTTGCACTGTAACCCAACTCAGAGAAAACAAAGTAGCTGGGTAAGGTGGTCCATGCCTGTAGTACTAGCTACTTGAGAGGCTGAGGCAGAAGCATTCCAAATTAGAGGCCAGCCTGGGCAACTTAACAAGACCCTGGCCCAAATTAACAAGTGAAACAAAGGTTGGGGACATATTTTAGTACAAAGTCACGGGTTCAATCCCTAGCACACAGCAGCAATAACAACAAAAAAAGGAAAGAAGTAATGTGCAATCCCAGCTCAGATCCTCAGCCTGACATCTTTTTCCACTTTAAAATGGGGCTTCAGCGCACATCACGTTTAAAGGGGCAGGAAAGGTTCCCTAGCAAAGCATGGAGGTGGGGTTCCTAGCAAGGGAAGACATTCTGGGAGACCTGAGGGAGGGGCGGGTTCTTGGGGGCTTAGTTGCTCCAGACTCAGAAACACCTAAACAGCTACTCCTCAAAGGAGTAACATCTAGAATATATAAAGAACTGAAAGAAATCAGACCCCCTAGATTTAAAGACCCAATGCAAACATGGGCATCTGAAATGAACTGACACTTCTCCGATAAAGAAGTACAAACGGCAATATATAAAATAGATCAACCTCATTCGAGAACTGCAAATTAAAACAACACTGAGATTCTATCTCACTCCAGAAAGAATGGCTCTCATCAAGAAATCAGCGGGCCGGGGATTTAGCCCAGTGGTTTCGCCGCTTGCTGCGCAAGCGCAAGGACTCGAGTTCAATACCCGGTACCAAAAAAAAAAAAAAATCAGCAACAAATGCTGGTGAGGCTGTGCGGGA